ATGGTTGCCGTGCTACTCAACCGCAACCATTGCCGTCCCCTGCTGTGTGGTTGCCTTGTTGGTGTTGCCTTGTGCTTCACGGCGTGGTTGCCACACTGCTTATCCTGCGTGCCATGTCATTCCTTGCAGTCATTTTTGGTGTTGTGCAGCTGTGTTGCCGTTGCCTGGTGGTGCTCCGCAGGGTTGCTTCCCACTGATGTGTTCCGTTTGGGGGACAGTCTGCCTTCAACAAGGGTCAAAGGGTTCATGACCCAAACCATCCAATACGAAGACTCCGCAGATTGTTGAGGGTTCAGCCTCCTGATGAGTCGGTGCAACTCCGACGAAACAATCTTTCATCATCAGCTTTTAATGTATTTTTTTTGGTCTTTCTTTCTTGCCTTGCGCTGTTTGTCTGCCCGCCCTCCTTCCCTCCACCCTCCAGCCTGTCCTTTGCTGTTTTCTTTTCTTCTGGTCGCTTTGTTGTTTTTCAATACTTGTACTTGTGCCCTCCCGCCTCCCCCATGTGCTTCAGCCTATGTGCTGCCTCACTGTTTGTTCCTCCTCTTGTGCCTCTAACTTCATGTGCCATGTTGTGGTTTGTCAGCCTATGGTGTTGGTTCCCTGCGCTTTGCCTCCTCCCCATCCCTCCGTTTGTTTGTGAGGTGTTATTGCATGTGTTCTGGTCTTTCTGAAAATGGCGTCTGAAGCATTGATGCTACTCTCATCATTTGACATAGTCTTCCCCTACCTTCCACTGTTGGATGTGTCTGTCCCATGTCAAATCTGTGTACTGAAGTTGAAGAGTAGATGCTGCTTGTAGAGTCCGGCTTAGAATTCCCTGCCTTTCAGTACTGGATGCGTCTGTCCCGTGCCTGTGAACTTTTTTTGTTGGCCGTTTGCTGCGGGGAACGTCACTCCCGCTTTGTCTCTTATTCAAGGTGGGCCGACATGGTTTGTCGGAGCTGTGCGGGTACGAGTAATGATGTATCGTATCTCGCGTGCCGTGGAGTACAGACCTCTCAAACACACACACACTCACACACATGCATGACCATACATTTGATGAACAATGCAGAAGGCATGCCTGCTATACCCCATGAACACGCAGTGTACAGCATCCCGCCAGATACTTGCCCCACCCGCCGGCCCCCAATCCACACCCTCCAGATCACGCAGAAAAGTGAAACCCATAACCAGCATGCAGAAATCAATTGAACATCCTTGCTAACAAGCAATATACGGCGAGAGTGAAAGGATTAATGCGCAGCTGCAGTACAGCCTTGGTACTGTGTCTCATTTTCTTCCGTACCTTAGGGCCGAAGTAGAACTAGGTAATGTACAACACAAAATAGAAATCTGACAGGATAAGACCAGTAGGAACAATAGGAGGGTCCTAGAAGTCGATAGGTAGGGAGTCGCCATCTGTGCAGTCCCGGTCCAATTGCAGCTCAGTCCTAGGGGAAGGCCACAGCAGACCGAATCTTTGCCTGCTGCGGCAGGGCCTGGCAGAAGAGTATGGAATCACGTGGGAGATAGGCACAGGCGGGAAAGGGAGGCCAACGTCAGGAACCTGTTCTTCTTCAGTTCTGGCATTTGTGGAAGCGCTGCTGTGTTGCAAATGCCAAGATCTTGGAGTGAACAGTACCAGGCCTGTCTCTTATACACATCTAGATGTGTATAAGAGACAGGCTATATTCATGATGTAAAACTCAAATTGCGAGAAAATGAAAGACATGCCGAAACACATAAGAAGAAGTTGAGAGAGGTAAAGAGTGCAGCAGAATGAAAAGGATGAAAGAAGAAGAATCATACAAGTTGAACCAATGTCTTCCCCCTCACTTCTTCCTTCTCTCATCTTCTTCTCCCCTAATGAAATTGCATACAATGATACAAAAATAAATGAATGAATGAACAGGAATCATGTACGAGTATTCCCCTTATTGCCAGCACTCAAAGAGCCTTCCTTTTGTCCATAACCTCACTTCTCTCTCCTCAGTTCTAGTCGGTTGCAACTAACACTATGGGTGAACATCATCACAGATGTTCAGAGGACGATGCAATATCTACTGTGCCTCTCCCATCTCATTCCGCCATAGCCTAGGCGTACCATTGTACGCTATGTACATGGGGTACGCCCTCGTACATAGCGTACGACGGGGCTGTGGTAGATATACGCGCGCGTACAACGGCCATTTGCGCCCTAAAAAATGTTTCTATTTTTATTTTTTATTCTTTTTGGAGGCGGGTCAGGGGGAGGGTGCCCGCACCAGGGGTGCTTCCCGGAAATACCTCACCCTCATTTTGGCTGTAGATAGTTTGTATACATTCATCATCTGGGTGGGTTGAGAGACCCACCCTCATAACGAATGTATACAAGCTATATTCCCCCTCTAGTGCAGACAAAATACGGTGCTCTGTCTCTCTCTCTCTCTCTCTCTCTCTCTCTCTCACACACACACACACACACACACACACACACACACACACACACACACACACACACACAC